TTTTTTTGCCAATCAGTGATCTGCCCGTCTTTACTTCTTTTCTAAGAAAGTTTCTAACATGTTGCAAATTCACCTAATTAGTCGCAAAATGTCCCACCATCTGTTTCTTATTAGTACCACTTGCTTTTCCAGCCTTTTGTTGCCTCCATTCACACTTTTCTGAGACGTGATGCTGCTTTCTACGGTACGGTACGGAGCCCCGCAAGGGACATGGGAGAAAAAAATTAAGACGGACTTTTGCGAGATCTCGCAAAACTAACTCGGGATCTCGCAAAAGTTCATCGTAATTTTTTTTCTCCCATGTCCCTTGCGGGGCTCCGTATGGGGCTCCGTACCGTAGCTTTCAAATTCAAAATTAGCTAATATTTTTCATGGAATAGTTCAATGTTACTAAAAAAAAACATTAAAATGTTTTCTATGTTCTACTGTGAATACAATATGAGTTTGGGGGATTTTTACAAAGCATTTCATCTTTTTTGGAATTGTTGTTGTAATCCTAGTGTAGAAAGACACATGAGATCAGAGAATTTACCTAAAATTTGTCCATCATGTCTGATGATCCTGCTTTCCCTTACTGTGAAGTATCTCTACATAAACACAGTTATTATGATATCTGCCTCTTCTGTAGATGCCTGCAAAGCAGGTCCTGCTGTGGATGCAGAACTAGCCAGCGCCATAATGGCACGGCAGTTTCACCCGCCTGTTACTGGTCCCGAGGTCTGGGAGGGATACGTCTTTTCTGGTCTGGAGATCCTCATCAAAGAGTCCACAGACCTCTATGGAGCTGTGCTCTGGCCCTCAGTGAGCCCAAAAATTGTCCTTGAGTTTAGATGTGATGTATGCTCATAATTTTTATCCCTGTCACTTAAAAAATATATACTTGATTCCCTCTAACAGGCCATGGTGCTCTGCCACTTCTTGGAGAACAACCAAGACAAATACAACCTGCTGGACAAAAATGTGATCGAACTGGGAGCTGGAACTGGGCTTGTCACCATCGTGTCCAGCCTGTTAGGTACTCACACAAGTCAGTGATTAGATTTAATCTTGTTAAGTTATTTTTCTCTTCCTCCATAGTTATTCCTCAATTTTACTTTTACTGTCTCTCCAGGTGCTAAGGTGACCTCCACTGACCTACCTGATGTGTTAGGGAATCTCCAGTACAATGTGACGCGTAACACCAAGGGCCGGTGCAAGTACACCCCTCTAGTGGGTTTTATATTTTAAAGCATCACATTCCGGAGTATCACCATAAGAGTTAAAGATTGAAAGTGTGTGTGTAAATCAACCCACCCACCTCTGCTTTCAGGTCACTGAGCTGATCTGGGGTCAGGAGTTGGATCAGCGTTTCCCATGTGCCACTCATCGCTTTGACTACATCCTGGCAGCTGATGTGGTGTACGCCCACCCTTACCTGCAGGAGCTGATGGACACCTTTGAATACCTGTGCCAGGAAAACACTCAGATCTTGTGGGCTATGCGTTTTCGCCTGGATCCGGAGAACAGCTTCGTGGATCGCTTCCGGCAGCGTTTTCACTTAGAGGAGCTGTACGACCTTCCCAGTCTGAGTATCAAGCTGTACCGGGCCTGGAGGAGGGACGGCACGACCAAGGACCTCAGAGAGGCTGCTAAACATTGAAGGAACTGGATGGGTTTACTGTGTGTGTTTGTGTTTTTGCTCAGTCGTGCCTCTGAGGGTCACATTGCTCATATCCAGTCTTCTCACAGCACTGGTGATGTGGGAAATAATGTTTCTGACAACTCAGTAGATTTTCAATAAGAGGTCTTTTGGTATGTGACTTCATGTGTGCAGTGCAATCAGGGTTTATCACTGCTGGAAGGACTGGAGAAGCACACACCTGTGTCTCAGACAATCTAAAAGTTAAAAAAAAAAAAAACAACAAACACTAATGAATAAAATATCTTCTGGGGACCATGAGGAAGGGGGATGCAACTTGTTCTCTATCACGGGTCAGGCTTTATATTTTTGGGATTAAATGATAGAAAACTGCAACCTTTACCTCCTTTTTTTGTTTTTGTTTTTAATGTTTTCTATTTTAAACTGTTTTAGATTGAAAATTAGCTGCTATGAAAGTTATTTCTTTGAAAATTTAAATAAAAATATGAACTCATCAAGACTATATGAAAGGGGCTGCACCTTGTGTGTGTGTGTGTGAGACTGCAAATAAGCCAAGGTGGTTCTACAGGCCTCAGCTGGCATGTTTAATGTTGAAGTTCATGAAAGTACAATTTAAAAAAGACTGAAGAAGTATGGTTTGTTTGAAAGAACTGCAGGAGAAAGCCTGATAACATAGCTTAGGTTTGCAAAACTGGGTATGAACGAACCACAAGACTTCATGAACAATGTCCTTTGAACAGATGAAACCAAGGTGTGTGCCCGTAGTGCCCTGCCCCATATTTGGTGAAAACCAAATACAGTATATCAGCACATACACCTGGGCTTGGTTTTCAGCAGTCATGGTCGATTGGTCGATACCAAAGTATTCGAGAGTCAAAGGTGAGGCCGTCTGACAGCTGACGCCCAAACTGGGTCAGTTGGCTCTACAAGCTACCGAATCACAAGGTGTACTTAATATTTCCTCATTGCTTCTGCATTTTGGCTTCATTTTTGTTTAATAATTAACAGTTGAGTGTGTTGTGTGATGTTTTTCTCCTGAGGTTGTATTTAAATCATTTTAGAAGCTGCTAAGAACAGGATGATTTTTTTTTTATCATGGCACACATTCATCAGCCACTTAATTATGTACACTGTTCAACGAGCCTGTTAACATAAATATCTCATCAGCCAACTACATGGCAGTGACTGAAAGCATATAGGTTGCAGACACGGACAAGTGAACCTACTGAAAAATAGAAAATAACCTGAGCAGCAGTTCTCTGGGTCAAAATGCTTTGTTGATGTTAGAGGTCTGATGAAAGTCCAATAACCACTTATTACAACCAGCATATGCAGAAGAGCATCTCTGAATGCACAGCACATCAAACCTTGAAGCAGTGGAAATCACACTGAGTGCCACTCCTGTCAGGCAACAGAAGAAAATGTTTCCTGGTTTGATGAGTTGCATTTCTGCTGGATGGTGAGATGAGAATTTGGCATGAACAGCTTTGCAGCATGGTCTTGTATCAGGCTGGTGGTGGTGATTCTGGGTTCTTCTCCTGCACCCAAAAACATGAAATATTAAACCTTAAACATTTATTTTTATTTTTTTTAAAGTTTACAGTGAATTGCAGGTAATTTTTCACCAGCAAACAACTTCAGGAGGTCAAATGAAAGATCACAACCATACTGGGCAGTACATTCTAGGCACACATTTTTTGTGTTTTGGAAACTCCCCAATGAGCTTTATTAGCTGCTTTGGAAAAGGAAGGTTCCCGTTACTTTCTATTCATGTGACCTATAAAATCTGATACCTAATTTTTGATTCCAAATCTTCCGACACATCTTGGCTCATTTCTGTCCGGTCTTTCCTCGTCTTTCGGCCAGCTCAGAGCATATGCGCAGTTTGGCTGCGGAGGTAGAGGAGAGGTGAAGATCTGTTTAACAAAGCAGCTATCTAAGCTGGTGTCAGTAAATGTCACAGCCACCATTAAGAAAAACAAATACTCAACAGCTGAAGATTAATGTGGACTTGTGGTGCCTGTCATCGAGCTTAAAAACTCCCATCTTTTATCCAAATAAGGCTGCTTGGCATTGGTAGCACAACCGGGCAATGACTTAACCACTGCATACTTTCTATTAATGTGTCAAAGCACCCCAAGGTCCTGGATGGAGTTCGTGTTTTAGGATGTGAGTGGATTTAGCTGGACGATAGGTGAAACTGGAGGGTGGGGAGGTGGTACTTCATGCAACTGAGGGTGGTCTAACTGAGGTTTATATTACTGAAGCTCGCTTCTTTTCTCAGGGGCTGGATACACGGGGGCTGCATGCCGGGCTGATCCTGTTACCTCCCATCTGTGGTGAAGCAGTTGAGGGCATTGCAGGAAAAGCAGGCACAACATGGACATGTTCCACGTTCCACGCGTCACTTTTTAAAATAGACGAGACCTTATTTTCATCTGCAAAAGCAGGTGATTGCAGGAGACGTGAACAATCAAGAAATAAAAGTGTTGCTTGAGCTTTGACCTCTTGAGGAAACATGGTGATCATCCCTTTAATTACTAATTAAAAGGCGTATACAAAATTATTAAAAGCTTTTTAATGCACGTAATGCTGATGTCCTCCATTCAGGCATGTTTCATGTTGTTATTGCTGGTCTCTCTCTTTTTTCTTCCTCCTTATGCAGGGGTTACAGTTGTTGACTGCCTAACAGCAGGCATTAATTGAAACAACACAAACTTGGGAGCTCTCTGCCAAGATGCCTTCAAGCCAAGCATAAATCCTGTATTGGCCTTGGTTCCCCCCTTGGCCCCATGTGTCTCCACTTTTTTTAGACTACTTACTATCGCAATAAACGATACGTGGACTGATTTGAACTCACGGTTGTGTTCAAGTTAATGTAAAGTTGTCTCTTAACTACCAGCTTCTACAGGTTTAACATGAATTCCTAATACATCTGGGTATGGTGTTACAGACCGTGCAGGTTTTTGCAAAGTTCCAGCTTTGAGAAGTCAAAAAGTACAGGTGAAAACAAACCCCCCACCCCACCCTCAGCCTGCTGATATCATTCTGTCTCTCTCTCTCTCCTTTTAGCTTCCTCTTCGGCTCGTCTTTGTAGCATGTCCGTGTGAGTCTGCTTCTACGTGTGTTCTGCTCCGGGATATTGCTTGTGTTTATTTCTCATGGGTACTGCTCTAAAAATATCACCGTGCCCTTGTGATGATGATGGGTGTGTCCTGGAGGATGCTCTATAACACCTCAGTCCGAGGTCTCTGAGATGCATTCGGGTTGCACCTGAGATCTTTCTCAAATTTGAAGCTTGCAAAAGGTATGTGAGGCACAATATTTGGATGATTGTTTAACATACAGTCCTACATGGACTCATGTCTCAGTTAACTGTCTAACATTGCAGAGCATTTTATATGGATACTTTGTCCACACCCTCTGTGGAAGAAACCATGTATATGGGAAGTGAAGAAGAAGAAGAAGAAGAAGATGAGGAGACAAATGGAAGTGAAGAGGAGGATAAAGGTAGGATGACCCTTGGTGGGTTATGTGTTTGCTTCAGATCAGATCAGAGTACCTGACATTTAGATCTTTCAGATGATTCGCAAACAGATCAGTCATCTGTTGGGAAGCAGCAGAGACCAGCCTGGGCTCCATGTTTCTTCTACAGAGGTGGGAAAGAGGTGTACAACTATGTCGGCCAAGAGATCATCATTCAAGAGGCTCTGGACTCGTATGCTGGCATGATATGGCCAGCAGTGAGTAGCACTGTTTCCCTGATTTGAAAGCTTGCATGCAATCATTTTCTCTAATATTACCAGCTTGGGATGGGAAGGTCTCAGTCTAGAGATGGAGCAAACTACTAATTCTGTACTCCTTTGACATTTTGATCAAATATTTTTGTGAAGTTTTCAACCACGTTGCATCATCATCATCACTCAGATGGACACAGAAGCTCAGCTAGCTGACTTTGCATCCATGAAATGTGTTTGTGACTGTGGAGAAATCTGAAGAGTTGTGGTTCAAATCAAAGGGACTAACTGTCACAAGGATTATCTCTGCAACAAACTTGGTGAACTCATCAGATAACGCAGTCCATTTGATTGGGTCAAAATTTCAGTTATTTTTTTATGTAAGTGCTTCAAATATTGGCAATAAATTTGTATTTTAATCACTTACATTAACTGCTGTGAGAAGTGCTGCACTGAAATTTGCGGTACATACAAAAACGAATGTCATCAGTACTTCTACTCCTCAACGACTGCAGTGAACACTAAAACAAAAAAACAACCTCACCAGTTCTGGGTACCCCTGCCCACATATTTTTGAGGTTCTTGGCAGGCTGGTTGCTGGAACAAGGGGGTCAGACACATGCTCTGTCCCCCGTGTTCTTCTTGTTGCTGAAAATAGTTTTTAATGACTCTGGCTGAATCTTTGAGCTTGTTGCAGAAGGAATATGGGACAGAATCATCGAGAAGGAATGATCCTACTCTGTACTTGAATATAAAGTGCTTAAAATTGATATAGGGAGTCAAAAAGGATGCTTAGAAAAGTAATGGATATAGAGTCTTGCAGTTCATCGTCCTGCTGCATAACCGAAATGTGTTTTAAGGCATGAACTGATTGCTGGACATTCTTCTTCAGGGTTTTTCTGGTAGAGAGCAGAATTCATGGTTTTAATCGTTACAGGAAGTTGTCCTGACACTCCAAAGCACTATCACGCTATCACCAGAATGTTTGACTGTTAGCATGATGTTCCTTTTATGAAATTCTGTGTCAGCTTTAAGGCAGATGTAACAGGATTCAAATGTTGCAAAAAGTTAAACTTCGGTTGATAGTGGATTTCTCCTTGGAGCTCTCCCATTGATGCCATCTTTGCCCAGTCTCTTTCTTATTGTCAAATCAAGAACTCTGACCTGGACTGAGGCAAGTGAGGCCTGCAGCTCTCTAAGTGTTGTTCTGGAGGTGGAGGGGTGGTGGATTGACCTCCTGAATGAGTCATTGATGCACTCTTGGGGTAATTTTGGTAGGCTGGCCACTCCTAGGAAGGTTGAGCACTGCTCTGAGTTTTCTCCATTTGTGGATAATGGCTCTCATTGTGGCTCACTAGAGTCCCAAAGCCTTAGAAACAGCTTTGTAACCTTTCCAGTCTGGTAGATGTCAATGTGTTACTTTTTGAGAGGTTTTAGTCTATTTCGCTTTGTCAAACAGGCTGACATTAACTAAATCGAACAGGGTTTGCTAATTATAAAGAGAAGATTAAATATGTACATATGTCCTCAGGGGTTGGCTCTCTGTCATTACCTGGACACTCATCGAGAACAGATCAATCTCGTGGATAAAGCAGTCCTGGAGATCGGAGCAGGAACCGGCCTTGTGTCTGTCGTAGCAGCACTCCTTGGTACGTAGGCAGAGATGAAGCTGTTTTCAGAGAGCTGTGAGGTTCTACATGTTTTGTTATTTCTCTTTCAGGTGGCTGGGTCACAGCCACAGACCTACCAGAGGTCCTGAACAACCTGAGGGTCAATTTGTGCAGGAATACCAGGGGCCACTGCAGACACACACCTCAGGTAGCAACTTTGTCATGGGGCTATGACCTGGAGCGCACTTACCCATCATCGGTCTACCGCTACGACTACGTGCTAGCAGCTGATGTGGTCTACCATCATGACTTCCTGGATGAGCTCCTGGTCACCATGAAGCATTTCTGCAAACCAGGAACAACTCTAATCTGGGCCAACAAGGTCAGGTTTGAGTCTGACTTGACTTTCACTGAGAACTTTAAAAAGGCCTTTAAAACAAGCTTATTGGCCGAGGATGGAGAGATGAAGATCTTCATGGCAACAAGTAGAGAAGGAGAGGAATGTTTTAGTGATGTCGTGCTGGAAGATCCGCTGAGACAGAAGGAGGGGAAAGAAAGGAAGGAGGTTGAAGATAAAGATAAAAAGGGGAAAGAAAAGCTTGTGGAGCAAAAATGCAATGAGGATGACTTGAACGATCATGAAAAAATAAGTTATGATGAATTACCAGAAGAAACCAACGTGCTGGAGGATGAAATAGAAAATGAAAAGGAAGACAATACTGAGTGTGAAGAAGAGGAGAACACGGTGGAGGCCCTCGCAGATGAGAAGGCTCAACCAGAGGACACAGATTCAAGTACTGAAGATATAACAGGTGCGCTATTTAAATGGCATACCAGTGTATCACGAGATGTATCAGTGTTACACACAAAATAGTAATCTCCTTGTGTTTAGAGGGTCAGTTCACTCAAATTTTCTTCTCCTTTCACAAGTTTTGAAGATATTAGTTTTTAAATGCTGGAAATCTTGTGGAACCAGGTTTAAGCAGTAAAGCATTCAGGAGACTTATTAGTCTTAGGTATTAGGTAAAGGTGATGCCTCTGTGCCCTGGGTCATTTGCAGCTGGTGGCCCAGGGCATCGGGTTCTCCAGAGTGTTTTGACCTCATCAAACAAGGAGCCCTGCTGAGAAATACTTTACATAAGATATCGGCTGACACTCAATTACAAAGGGACCATTTTTTCACTATAAATTTGTGAAAGTTAAAGGTATAGAGAAAATGATTCGTGAAAGTATTTTTTCCCCTTTCTGTCTAAAATACCTCAGATTTTGCATTATGATCCATGTGTGATCCCAACATTTATATATATGGAATTGCACTGACATGATTTTTAAACATTCATGGTCTTGTCCATATTCCTAAAATTAGGCAAAGGTGATGCCTTTGTGGCCTTTGTAGCTGAAGGCCCAGGACGTCAAACTCTACCAAGTTATGACCAGTGAGATCTTACCAAATAAAGAGCCCTGTACTAAAAATAGAAAAATAAAAAGCTAAATGTACAGATATTGATCCTACATGTTGACCGAGTCTGAAATGGCTCAAATTTTGCATTATAACCCAATATGTGAGCCCCACAATCATTAGACATGATATTCAAACATTCATGGTCTCCAGATCATGACCACCATCAGATCTCTGTTGAGTTTGCTTCCTGCTGTACTTTTAAATTTCTTGAAACCATAAAACATAAAGTCATAAACTTTGTTTTATAACTACAAAACCAGTGAAATTCCTTTTTAACTGAAATTCTGTTTAGTGACAGTTAGCATATATTAGCATGCTAATGCCAAATTAAGATAGCACACTATAAACATGTTTATGACACAATATTTGCAGGAACAGTGTTTAAAAGCATCCTACCATCCTAGCACTAGCATGTAGCTGAAAGTAAAACTGAATAAGCTTTACACCTGATATTGTCTGTTCAAAAAGTACAGTCAGTGTTGCTAGCCTCCAAAATATCGTGCTAGCATGCTATATAGCCACAAAGTCAACATAGCAAAACGTTTACAGGAACTAATATTCAGCATTTTTAATAGTTTAAACTGCTAAATACAGTATTAAAATCCTGTATTTATCAGGATTTTAATACTGATAAATACAAAAAAAATGTAGAGCAGCATTTGTTTTTCTTTGCAATTTTACCTTTAAGTAAAACAACAGCTTTAAGGAGACTGGCAGGATTCTTCTCCTGTTAAATCTGAGATGTAAGACACACCGTAAGGCCACAAGGTAGACAAGCCAAAACTATAACCAAATGCCCTGAGGGAAACCACGGGGTTGATGTGGTGCCTGCTGGTTTAGAGTGACTGAACCTAAAAGGAACTGAAGCAGAGACATGTTTTCCTTTGCTGTCAGGTTATCTGACCCTCGTACGCAATGACACCATTATACCCATTAAAATGCTAACATTTGTCTGTTTTAGTGTTCCAAATTATACTGTGAGGAAAAGGCTGACTCATAAGCTTCCCAGTATTTGTCTGACACTCATCTTAGCAATCTTAGAGAATTATGCATAATTTATTTTTGTCCTTACTGTGTCTGATTGAACTGAAGCTCATTTCTGTTTGTCCTGTTTGTTCCCACAGGACAGGAGATTAAGAAAGAGACCGCTCTAAAAGAGAACTGGATCCCCAGCATCGTCTGCAGCATTGCTAAAGATATCTATCATTATGTAGGGGAGGATATCGTTATTTATGAATCCATAGACTCTTTTGGAGCAATGATGTGGCCAGCGGTGAGCATTTATGAAAACTGTCAAAACACTATTGAAAGTGGACCTTTTGTACGCTTTCTTGATTTCTGTCTTATATACATTGTTACGGAAGCCTGTGAGCAAAAAGCTCAGGCTTTAGATTACTGTAATTTCTTACTTTCAGATAGTTTTTTTAGTCTTGGAACAGTATGATGTCACTTAGAAAAGATACCCTAAATATGGTCATGCATGTGGCCAATCAGAAGTGGCTTGGCTTAAAGGAAGGATGGCCTTAAAAGCTAAAACAGCTTGTTTCAGACAGTGGATGAACCAAGGCCCAGTAATTTGTAAACTATAAATCATGCAAAGCTATTATAAAAATTAGATAAGTATACGTAGTATGATCGTAAAAGCAGGACCACACTCAGTAATTTGGTCTTGTCTGATCCCCCTCTGTCCTGAAGGCGTTGGCTTTGTGCTCCTTCCTGGAAAACAACAGGCACATGGTGAACCTGAAGGGGAAGGAAGTGCTGGAGCTGGGATCAGGGACAGGACTAGTAACCATTGTGGCCAGTCTGCTGGGTGAGGGTTCTCACACAATCTGACACAAAACACAAAGCATGTATATGCAAACACGCAGAGGCACTGAACATTTTGCAAGTCTTGCAACACCACAATGCCCTTGTATCGCTGTAACGATGATGTATTTCTTCATCATCAGGAGCTTCGGTCACAGCCACAGATTTGCCAGAGATTTTAGGGAATCTCCGGGCTAACGTGATAAGGAACACCAGAAACCGCTGCAGACACACGCCTCAGGTGGTTGCTCTGCCATGGAGCTACGACCTGGAACGCACCCACCCATCATCGGTCTACCACTACGACTACATACTGGCAGCTGATGTGGTCTACCATCACAACTTCCTGGATGAGCTCCTGGTCACCATGAAGCATTTCTGCAAACCGGGAACAACTCTAATCTGGGCCAACAAGGTCAGGTTTGAGTCTGACTTGACTTTTACTGAGAACTTTAAAAAGGCCTTTAACACAAGCTTATTGGCTGAGGATGGAGAGATGAAGATCTTCATGGCAACAAGTAGAGACTGAAAGGCCAAAGAGGTGTGGATAGATTTCCTGAGACACTCCCATGAGATAAGCCATTGAAGTGTACGAATTGCCAGCAATTCAAATGGCTCCATTGAAATGATCCAGTGTTTACTAATGCTGCTATGAGCTTGAACTAAAATTTGTTACCTGCTGTTTTATACATGTTGGTGGGGGATAAAAGAAAAATCTGAGGAGATGAGTGTGAGTTTGGATCTGCTGTGGCAGTGACGTTTGCTAAACAAATATTCAGATACCAAATCCAAGGCTGCTGAAAATGTGATCAGTTTTGAAAATCATCTGCCTTCTATGGTGCAGTCACTTTCTAGACACATTAGACACTTTCTTGAGGGTACGTGTTACACTGGTTGACAATAACCATCATATAGGAAAATTTTCTATATCATGCTGATAACACACATCCTGTACACTTTTGTAGAGTTATATTACATCCTCAAACACTCTATACTCATATTTTGTAATTAATACTTAAATAGAGTCAATACACACTTACCTACCACTTTATTACTGGGTTGGACCCACTTTTTTTTTTTCTTCAGAACTGCTTTAATTCTTCATGGGATAGATTTAAACATCTCTCAGAGATTTTGTTCCATGTTAACAACAACTTCTCTTTGATCACTTGAGCTTTGGGACATTGTGGATTATCCCGATAGAAGTTAACATCAGAAGACAGGTGCACTGTGGTCATAAAGAGTCAATACTTAAGTTGTGCTGTTAAAAATATCCTCCACACCATTACACCACCACCACCACTAGCTTAAACCATTGATCCAAAGTAGGATTCATGTTTTCATGTTGTTTACATCTCATTTTGACCCTAAACATCACAGCAGAAATCCAGACGTTTTTACAATCTTCTGTTGTCCAATTTTGGTGAATCCATGTGAGTAGCCTCAGTTTCCTGTTCTTAGCCAACAGGAGGGGTACCCGATGTGGTCTTCTGCTACTGCTTCAAGGTTTGACATGCTGTGTGTTCAGAGATGCTCTTCTACATACCCTGGTTTTAATGGGTGATCGGCTTCCCAACAACCTGACATATTCACTTTCCCCCCCCAAAAAATCAGACTTTTTATCCTTGAAGGCCTATAAATAGTCAGTTTACTGCAGATGGTTTTGTTGTTGTTTAGACTTGAACTGTCTTTTAAGATGACTTTTAGCCATCTTTTTCCTCAGATGGTAGTATAAGAGGCAGCTTCTCAGATGTAAAGATTTTCTCTTAAACATACTGTGTTTGGGATAAAACAAATCATCTGAACAGGACTCACTGGGCTGTGGGGTATGGAGGGCCATAAGTGCCAAAAGAAATTATATTAAACACACCATTAAAGAACTGTGATTAATTAAAATTGGAAGTAGACAAATTTTTCAATAATTAATTAATAGAATGTCATTAAAATAGGAAAAAAAAAATTAAATGGCTTAAATGAAGTGAATTGAAATTGAACTTTTTCCCCCAATTTTAAGTATTTATTTTATTCATGTTTGGCTCTCTCGACCCTCCATAGTAAGTATAAAGAAGCTATGAAATGTCTTTTTTTGGCATGTCAGCTGTGCCGTTTTTAAGTCTCTTTTGCTGTATGTGCAAGTGATGCTCAGTGAACACGTGAATTCTTCCAAATATTTTTATTCAGTGTCATTTTTCTGATTGTGACTTATTCCATGTGACCACAAAATAGTGACAGTAGCTCGGGGTCTTTCCCACGTCATCAAGGAAGAATAGGTATAAAATAATACTAAGAGCATACAACCTTATCTCGTAACATTTGATAAAATATTGGCATTTACTAGATTTTATGACTATAAATATAAACACAACCGTAAGAAGCTTTTCTGAAGTCTTTCTTGACACCAGCGGAGTGAGAGCAACGGATATAAGACGTCTGTTTGGTGCCATGAAGTGGACGGTAAAGTCCTGTGGTGAACGTTAAGGCCTTTTTAAAATTATTTTTAAAGTGAAACCGTCATTGGCAGCGTGTAATTGTTGATAGCAGAGCCCTGAACGCAACATCTGTCTGAAAAACAATCCAAAACTCCAGAAAAAGGAGAAAAGAGAAGATTTAAAAAAGAAAAATGGATTCCAGCAGAGAAACCTGAGACTGCTGCTGAGAAGCTAAAAACAGAAGCATGATTTGTGACCACCGATTCACCCCCAGAAGAGATTTTTCTGCTCCCCTTGAGGACAAGAGGCTCAAAAGCAGCTGCTTTTACATTCGTAGGCATGGACCGTCCACTTGAGAGAGGTCTTAAAACAACATCAGGGAAAGATGAGACCATAAACAGTCACAAAATCCACACCAGAGGGTAGGGGTTCATCTTCACACGTGGGGCGTGACTCCACCACCACCACCTCTCCGATATGGTTTATGCCTTCATACATGCAGCGATGATTAAACAGCTTAAGGTGGAAATCGTTCTTTGGTTAAAGTGATGAAACAGAAATCATACTTTAAGTTTTATGGATTCAAAGAAAAAAAAAAAGGGGGGGGGGAGATCTGTCCGTGTTAGATACGCCCTTAAATACAACCCTTTGAATTTTTGCTGAACAGCTTTCAGAAGCATGTTGTGAGGTTTGTCTATTTTTAGAAGCATTTTTTCCATCTACACCGTTTTCCTATGCTTGCACACGGCAGTGTGGACCATTTACACATCACATCGTCACTACATGAAGAAAAAGCATGCACAAAGCCTCAGAGCCGCACCCATTCCAAGGTAAGGAGGAGAGGAAAATAAAATGTACATTAGCTGCAAACCTCACTCACTTCTCACACATGCACTGAAGGCCTAAACTTTTCAGCAAATGAGCATTGTGTATTATAAACTCTGAGCTCTACTCAGGCACCAACCTCGCCTGGATTATTTTGAGCAGAGAAACATGTGGCACATGGCAAATGTCCAGACCTATTAAGTTCAAAGAAAAAAAACAAAACATCACAACTTGCAGAAGCTGTAATTTAAGGTCTGTGTAAATTAGATAAATTGGACAAAAGCACTGTGTTAGTCCTCAAAAGCAAAAAACAAAACTTATGCTCAGCTCCCCTCTAAATGGCTTTCGTTACAGTCTCGCTGGGAAAAATGTCGATGTACACAAAAACACCCTCACAAATAATATTCACTCACAGACACGCACACATGAAAACAACATCAGAGGATACCGTCGGCGATTAAAAATCATTCAAATAGAAACAAACTGAAAATCCGCTTCCACAAAACTATGCTTCCTTACATCCTAGAAGACATGCATATACTCAAAACACATCGATTAGAATAATATTTTTGTGTTATATACCTATTGCATCTTAATATACTGTAACTTATGAGTGTATGTACATTATTTTATGACACTGTGTACATGTGCAACGCCGTGACTGCTGCACAGAAACTCGTCTTAACACTGTGTGAAAGTTTCACGATGAAACCAGATCCGAACATCCTACCGCTGCCCGCGACTGCATCGTGACGTTAGTGAGGTCTGTTTTAGGTGGTTGTCGAAGGCGGCGGTGACGGCCCGCACGCAGCGTGCACGCGGCTCGTCGCGCTGCTGATACGAGCTTCGACGCATCTGTCGACACCACCGAAGGTTGATGGGTGAAAGCGGATGAGCGCCTCCTGTGGTCATATCCTCCCCCTACGACCGTTTCATCCCATCAGAAAAAGTTAAGGTACATGAAGAAAGGCACCTCAAAACTGTTGTGTGTTCTGAGACAGACAAGAATAAATGTTAGCTTTAACCCAGGCGGGCTGGACAATCAAAAAGAAAAGAAAAAAGGGAGATTGAGCTCTGTCCGTGACTCCCTTTTAACTCAAGGATCAGGCCCCGTGTGTCTGCACGTGTGCAGCAGCGAGACCTCCGTCTTCTCTCTGTAGTATAACAGCAAGCTTTGAGTACTCAGTTTGTTTTCTTCGCTAATAAACTGGGTCGTGGCCCTTTTGTTTTTGTTTTTTTTTACAGTATTTACACCAGACAATGAGGTTTTTCATGTGAAATGAAGTCCAGACAGCTGAGAATGGGGTGGATGTGAACGCCTCCAAAAATCTGTGGATGACAGCAAAATAAAGGACGACGACTGAGCTGCAAGATCAAGCCGACCCTGGAGAGAGTTCAGAGCTCTTAAAAACTCATTTATTGGTTGTTTTTCTTGCTGAACAGCCAAGGCTGCTCGACAACATGTTTAAAGGTAACTTCAGGATGAGCGTGATCCCTCTACTTACGCTCGCTGTCATCATTTATTTTGGTGTTCATCAACAATTACATTTTTTTTAAAAAATCTGAGGAGGCAGCTGGTTGGTTGGATGCATAGACCATGTGACCCTGAGGGACATGATATCGTAGTTGTCATGTGATGGGACCGTGGGTGGCTGTGCTGCCTGAGCGTGCATGCAGGTGTGTGCGCGCCGTTGCCTAGAACAGCGTGTAGTCGGCGGGGTACATGACAGGGAGCCAGTTCTCGCTGAAAGCAGCGCAGTGTGTCCATCCGAGGTGACGCATGAGCTGAGGAACGAGAAACAGAAAAAAAAAGAATAATTAAAAATCACTGCAGTGAAAAAGACGTCATCATGTGCTGGCCATCACTGCTACCGTACCTGGATGGAGTTCTTCATGTTTTCCTTGCTGGGCTTCTCCTCCACCATCTTTGAGGCGTATTTTAAAGCCCGCCCGTACATCTTGTTCACCAGAGCATGTTTATATGAAAACATCAACACCTGAGCAGCCAAGGCAAAGAAACAGAGAAAGAAAACTTTAGCCATGACCCCAAATCTAAAAAAAAAAACAACAACAAAAAAACCAAACACCAATTTGACTTCTCTTACCTTGGACTCAGTTAGCTCCGCCCACTTCTGCACCTCCCAGAATGTATCCATCAGGGCTTTGGAAATGTTCTGCAGGATGTCATCAGAGCTGCTGGCCGCCTCCTCCGCAGGCTCTTCAGCCACCGTCTGCCCCGTGGCGACAGCCCCGGCGCCATCCTGCGACGCGGGGGGCAGGAGGAGCTGGTCGGCCAGAGCGCAGCCCTTCCTGCACAGAGCGTCGAGCAGGGACGACTTCTGCTTCTCCATGTCGCTGAAACACAAATATTACTAGAGGTCAAGAGCAGCACGGCTACGTTAAGCCTAATTGTGCTTTTGTTTTATTGTTCTTCAGTTTGTCATTTTTCCATTATGTGTTTTATCCTATTGTAAAGGGTCCTTGGGTGTCTTGAAAGGCGCTTTATAAATAAAATGTATTATTATTATTGCTCTTTTTTTAAAAAACAAAAAACAAATAAAGGAGCCTAAATTCTAAAATGTACTTCATGTACAACTAAAGAAAAGGTGCCTTTTATTTGCTCCACCTCTCTTTAAGTATTTCTCACCCCACCAGAATACACGCAAGTCACAGGTGATGATTTAAACTTTTTCTTTCTTCCAATCTCCCTCTATAAGATGCCAGGGTCACATAAGGTACTCTTAACGAACCTTATTTATATATTAATAAAGATGTGGTTTGATGACCATCAGAGTAGTTTCCAGGTTTTTCCAAAGGTAGCTGCAAAGGTAGAGACAACTGTCACTAAGCTCCGATCCAACTCCAGGCATTGTTCTATAAACAGAACGCCTGGAGTTTGCATAAAAATATAAGCCAGGTCACAAAACAACATCAAGGGTTTTTTTTCTAGTAGGTTTTCAATGGGTTGAAGAGTTGAGCTCTTGTTTGAGCTGCCAAAAACAAACTAAACTAATAAAATGTGTTATGTGTGGGACACCTTCTCAGGGGTTCATGCTTAATCTAAACAGAAATATTTAATAAAACTAGTTTGTGGTGTTAATGCTGCTCCTTGGTGCGACATACCTCTTAATAGAAGCGGCGTCCGG